TTTTGGTATCTAATGAGAGTCCTGGAACCAATTCCCCTTGGATACCAAAGGATAACTATCTCTAATTATACAGGTTTGAAACTGGGAAGGTTTTGTGGTGCTAGGAATTGAACCAATGGCCTGGTTGCATGCTAAACAAGGGTTTATTACTGAGGCACATCTTTAGCCAACCATTTTTTCTCTTGATTTATACATTTTGAATATTTTTCAAGAAATCTTTTCTAACTTGAAAGCCATAACATTTTCCCTGTATGATTTTCTAAACATTTTATAGTTTGCCTGTCTCATGATCTATTTGCCTTTCTCGTTGATCTTTTTGGAATTTATTTTAATGCACTGTGAGAGGCAGGGAGCCAAGGTCATACTTTTAAATTATATTAGTTCTTTTTCAAGCTGGGTGCAATGGCACACACCTGTAATTCCAGCTACTGGGGAGGCTGAGGCAGGAGGATCACAAGTTCAAAGCCAGCCTCAGCAACTTAGCAAGGCCCTACGCAACTAAGTGAGACCCTGTGTCACAAAAAAGGGGGGAAGGCTGGCGATGTTTAAAAAAAGGTCTATTTTATTTATTTTATAGTTTTGGAAGTTCAAAGGCATGATCCTGGCATTGACTCTGTTGATAGCTTTCTTGCTGACAGAGTGAGGTGGCACATGGCACCACCAGGTGAGAGGCAAGAAGCATATGTGTGCATGTCTGTATGTCTGGTCTCCGTTTTCCTTCTTATAAAGCCACCAGGATTCAATCATCTGGGCTCTTCCATAATGACTGTATCTACTTCTATCACTTTCTAAAGGCCTAATCTCTAAATACCATGTTGGATTAAGTTCCTACCATATTAATATGGAAGCAGCAATTCCTTCCTAAGATGTCTCCTTTTATTTCTGTTATTAGCTCCAACCTGCTAGTTTCTGCTTCTGTAATTGTGCTTGCTCAGCAGCTATGGCAGGAACCAGAGCTGTCTGGAGAAGGGGACAGACATCAAGATTACTTGCGTGAGAAAGTCTTGAACTCCAGAAGTCTGTACTGCTGAAAGGATACTGAGAACAAAGGGCTGTGCTCAGTCTTTGGAAAAGAGTCTGCTGAGCTCATGTTAGTGCTGAATAAATCTTGCTCTTCTACATCCCAAGGGCCACTTGTCTCTTTCTAGTGCCATAATTTTTCCATATTTTCCATAACAATATCATTAACATATGAATTGAGGGATTAAACTCCTGTGTGAGTTCAGGAGAACAAACCCTATTAAAACTTTAGCTGCCCATTATAAATCAAGTTTGCAAACAGGTGGAGATCTGTTTGGATTTCCTATTTTGTTCCATTGTTTTTCCCCGCCCCATCCTTGAACAAGCATCACACTACACCACTTCCCTTATTATAGCTTTTTAATAATGTGATCTGGCAAGGCAAATCTCCCCATCTTGTTCTTTTCAGCTTTTATTAAATTTTTAATTTTTAATTTGCTCTACTTAGTTGTACATGATAGCAGAAAGCATTTCAATTCATCATACACAAATAGAATGCAACATTTCAATTCTCTGGTTGTATATGGTGTAGAAATGCACCATTCATGCAATCATACATGCACCTAGGGTAATGATGTCCATCTCATTCCACCATCTTTTCTATCCTCATATCCCTTCCCCACTCTCCCCTTTACCCAGTCCAAAGTTTCTCCATTCTTCTCATGAAAACTTCCCCCATCATAGATCAGCATCCACTAATAAGAGAAAACATTCGGCCTTTAGTTTTTGGGAATTGGCTTACTTTGCTTAACATAATATTCTCCAACTCCATCCATTTAACCCACAAATGCCATAATTTTGATCTCCTTAAATGCTGAGTAATATTTCGTTATGTATATATACCACAATCTTTATCCATTCATCCAATGATGGGCATCTAGGTTGATTCCACAGTTTAGCTGTTGTAAATTCAGCTGCTATAAACATTGGTGTGGTTATGTCACTATAGTATACGGATTTTTAAGTCCTTTGGGTAATAGATGGAGGGGTGGGATAGATGGGTCAAGTGGTGATTCCTTTCCAAGTGTTCTGAGGAATCTCCATACTGCTTTCTAAAGTGGTTGCACCAATTTGCAGTGCCACCAGCAATGGATGAGTGTAACCCTCCCCCCGCCCCCACCATCCTCTTCAGCACTTATTATTGCTTGTATCCTTGATAACTGCTATTCTGACTGGGGTGAGATAAAATCTTAGAGTAGTTTTCATTTGCATTTCTCTAATTACTAAAGATGTTGAACACTTTTTCATATATTTGTTGATTGCTTGTATCTCCTGAGAAGTGTCTGTTCAGTTTCTTAGCCCATTTATTGATTGGGTTGTTTGTTTTTTTGATATTAAGTCTTTTGAGTTCTTTATAGATCCTGGAGATTAGTGCTCTGATGTGCATGTGGTAAAAATTTTCTCCCATACTATAGGCTCTCTCTTCACCTCAATGATTGTTTCCTTTGCTAAGAAGAAGCTTTTTAGTTTGAATCCACCCCATTTATTGACTTGATGTTATTTCTTGCACTTTAGGAGTCTTATTAAGGAAGTTGGTGCCTAATTATGAAGATTTGGGTCTACTTTTTCTTCTATTAGGTGCAGGGTCTCTGGTCTAATTCCTAGGTACTTGATCTACTTTGAGTTGAGTTTTGTGTATGCTGAGGGATAGAAGTTTAATTTTGTTTTGCTACATACAGATTTCCAGTTTTCCCAGCACAATTTGTTGAAGAGGCTATCCTTTCTCCAATGTATATTTTTGGCACCCTTGTCTAGTATGAGATAACATATTTATGTGAGTCGGTCTTCTGTTCCATTGGTCTACATGTCTATTTTGGTGCCAATACCATACTGTTTTGGTTACTATTACTCTGTAATATAGTTTAAGGTCTGGAATTGTGATGCTCTCCACATTGGAATTGGAATTGTGATGCATCCCTGTCTTGTACCAGTTTTTAGAGGGAATGCTTCCAATTTTTCTCCATTTAGAATGATGTTGGCCATGGGCTTAGCCTAGCTAGATTTTACAATGTTGAAATATGATCCAACTATTCCTAGTTTTTCTAGTGCTTTGAACGTGAAGGGGTATTGTAGTTTATCAAACGCTTTTTCTGCATCTATTGAGATAATCATTTGATTCTTGTCCTTAAATTTATTAATGTGATGTATTACATTTATTGAGAATTTTTGTCTCTATGTTCATCAGGGATATTGGTCTGAAGTTTTCTTTCCTTGATGTGTCTTTGTCTGGTTTTTGGTATCAGATTGATGCTCACCTCATAGAATGAGTTTGGAAAGGTTCCCTCCTTTTCTATTTCATGAAATAATTTGAGGAGTATTGTTATTAATTCTTCCTGGAAGTTCTTGTAGAACTCAGCTGAGAATCTGTCTAGTCCTGGGCTTTTCTTGGTTGATAGGTTTTTAATGGTATCTTCTATTTCTTTGCTTGAAAGTGATCTGTTTAAATTGTGTATGTCCTCCTGATTCCATTTGGGTCGATAATGTGTTTCAAGAAATTTGTTGATGTAGTCAAGATTTTCTTTATTATTGGAGTATAAATTTTCAAAATAATTTCAAATTATCTTTTGTACTTCAATAGTATCTTTTTGATATTTCCTTTTTCATCACAAATTTTAGTAATTTGAGTTTTCTCTTTCCTTCTCTTCATTAGCATGGCTGAGGATTTATCAATTTTACTTATTTTTTCAAAGAATGAAAAAATACGCCAGGTATTTTTTTTTCAAAGAATGAAAAAACACGCCAGGCAAGCGTGCTACCACTTGAGCCACATCCCCAGCCCGTGTTGTGATCTTTTTGCTTCTTGAAATTGAGAAGAATTTATTTGATATACATTGATGCTCCATTGTTTGGGGAATAGATATGTATAATTGTTATGTCTTTTGATGTATGGTTCCCTTAAGCAGTATAAAATGTCCTTTTTTATCTCTTCTGACTAACTTTGGTTTGCAGTCCACTTTATATAATATTAAAATGGAAAAAAAATAAAAAATAAAATGGAAACACCTATTTGTTTTTGTGGCCCATGTGAGTGATATGTTTTTTCCCTGTCTCTTCACCTTCAGTCTGTGGATGTCTTTTCCTATGATATGAGTCTCTTGAAGGCAACATATTGTTGGATTTTTAAAATCCAATCTGCCAGTCTGTGTCTTTTAATTGATGAATTTGGGCCATTAACATTCAGGGTTATTATTGAGACATGGTTTGTATTCCTGATCATTTTGGCTTATGTTGGTTTTTTTAACTTAAGTTGGTTTCTCCTTGTATTTTCCTTTAGTGTAGTTCCTCCCTTTGCTGATTTTCATTGTTTTTTATTTCCTCCTCATGAAATATTTTGCTGAGAATATTCTATAGTGCAGGCTTTCTCATTGTAAATTCTTTTTTAAAATATATATTTTTTAGTTGTAGTTGGACACAATACCTTTATTTTATGTATTTATTTTTATGTGGTGCTGAGGATCAAACCCAGCACCTTGCATGTGCTAGGCAAGTGCTCTATCACTGAGCCACAATCCCAGCCACTGTAAATTCTTTTATTTTTTGTTTATCAAGTTATATTTTTATTTCATCATCAAATCTGAAGCTTAATTTTGCTGGGTATAAGATTCTTGGTTGGCATTCATTTTCTTTCACAGCGTGGTATGTGTTCCAATATCTCCTAGCTTTGATGATCTGGGTTGAGAAATCTGCTGAGATCCGATTGGTTTCCCTCTATATGTAATCTGAAATTTTTCTCTTGCAGATTTTAAAGTTCTATCCTTATTCTGTATGCTAGGCATTTTTTTTTTAGATACTGAGCATTTTATATTTCATAGAAAGAAATTTTCAGTTTTGTCAATGCTTATAGTATATACTATTATTCCTACCAAAATCTTCATGAAATTTAAAAGGTTGGTATTAAAAGTAATTTCTTTTTTTGAATGTTCTAAAACATGCCAGTATGGATTAACCTTCAAATTTTCAGGGCATAAAAGATACACAAATAGAGTATATATTTTAATACAGGATAATTCTGTTTACAATTATGACAAAAATACCTTCAATTTTCAGACATTAAAAAGAAAGAAAGAAACCTAAGCAAACAAAAGGTATTTTGGGTCAAGTTATTTCTTAGTACGAATAATATATCATACACCAATCAGTTTTCCAGCCAACAGCATTAAAAATTTACCACTATTAATTGTTAAACAATGCATTTACAAGGTGAAAGATCAAAGAAAACTTAAGAACAACAAAAAAACCTCAAAAGGATTCCAAATCCTAAAATAAGAAATAAGAAATCTGCAAATTAAAAAATTTCAAATGTTGCTCAGAAATTTTTTATGCATTACTTGTACTCTCATTTTAACAGCTTGACATATATAATTTTATACTTAAAAAGACTCTAGCTAATTGTTTAATAATATTTATAGAATGTTACCTCTTTGGGTAGACATGTTTCACACAATAGATTTTAATTAAGAAGAAATCACTTGATAGTTTTAATCACAATTTATGATTGATTTATAAGTGGATTAATAATCTATTCAATAATTTAGACCAATACAAGGATTAATCTGATCAATGCTCCACTGTGCAATTCTGTCAACTGGGTAAGCCAAAAATTTGACAGATATTTCACTTAGTTGGATTACACATTTCTATGTGTGTTACTGATCAACAAAAATGGGTATACAATGTCAAGCTTTTTCCTGTATCTTTTTTTTTTCTTAAGAGCAGCTCAATGATTGGGGGAGAGGGGACGTTTGATTAGTACAATACAGAAAACAAACAGGAAAAGTATAAAATGGCACTTAATACCAATGCCAGTACTTATCTCATTAGGGCAATAACTAAGGATATTACTAATTTTTGCGTTATTTGCTTTTCTTTAGAACACAAATCAAAGCCATTAACTTGAACTTGAGGTATATACATAATACACACACAACCTTAAGTAAAATACTTTTTTTTTTTTTCATAACTAACATGACATTTAAAATATTGGAAACAGTATCTGTGCTGATTTGTATTTTGACTTAGTGGAACAAAAAGAGAACAACATTCAGTTGGGGAGGGGTATACTGATAATAAAGCTCTTAAAGTTCAAAACATCTTCCTCTCCCTTTGTACTTACCACAGGCTATACATTGTCCTGAGAGGATTCATTGAGAAAAATGTCAATCACAGCTTTAATAAAGTACTTTGAAAGGAACTAATGAGAAAGCAAATTGGAAGATGAGACTCCCATCTTGTTTTCAAATAAGTGGTCTTAATTTTTCTTCTTATAGAAAAAAATTGAAATCAGTTTATTATAAATATATCTAAACCATTAATTTTTGCAGCTTTCAGGTAAAGTCCAGCACTTTGTTTATACAAAGTCTATGAGAAGAGGTCAGTAGAGATCATCTAATCTTAAGTCGTGACATCATCCATTCAAGTCCTTGGCATAATCCCTCGCCAGTAAGAGCACAGCATGCCTGGATATGCCACTGATGATCTTTAATAGAAGTTAGCTTCAAAAACTGGGAGATTTCTGCTACACTCATGCATTCTTTAACGTCTTGTTTATTAGCAAAAATCAGTAATCCAGCTTTTCTTAGGTCCTCATGTGCTAACATTTTGTAGAGTTCTTCTCTAGTTACAGAAATCCTCTCTCTGTCTGTACTGTCCACAACTACTATTACAAACTCCGTGTTAGTATAATAAGTATTCCAGGAAGAACGAAGAGATTCTTGGCCACCAATATCCCACATTAGGAAACGTGTATTATTAATCACTATCTCTTCTACATTACTTCCTATTGTAGGGGATGTATGTACAACTTCATTCATAGAAAATTGGTAAAGGATGGTAGTTTTTCCTGCATTATCCAATCCAACAATGATAACTTTGTGCTCCTGGTGATTGAACAGTCTCCATATCCTGGTGAAGAGAATTCCCATTCTCGGGCAGCGGACCCCCTCCAGCCACCCGGGCTGCCTGGCCTCCCTTGGCTCAGGCTAAAGGGTAGAGAGACGCACTGAAGCCTCCGCCTCTGCTGCTGCTGCCGTTCCCGCACTGGCCACCGGCCCGCTTCCAGGGAACCGGGGGGAGGCCAAAACCCAGGCCGCCCTGCCGTGCGCGAGGCCCCGCCGCTGCCGCCGCGGCACTCGCCTGGCTCGCGGACATCGCCGCCGGGTTGTCTGCGACGAGCCTCGCGGGCCACCGTCCTCCCCCAGCTCCTCTCGGACGGCTGCGGTGGAGGCGACCACGCGGGCGGGGGAGGTGAAGAGCAGGCATTTTTATTATAATATGCCTTAGTGTGGATCTGTTGTGATTTTGTTCATTTGGTGTTCTGTAAGCCTCTTTTATTTGATTTTCCAATTCATTCTTCATATTTGGGAAATTTTCTGATATTATTTCATTTATCAGATTGTGCATTCCTTTGGTTTATATTTTTGTGTCTTTCTCTCTCCTGATAGTTCTTAGATTTGGTCTATTCATGTTGTCCCATAATCCTTGGAGTTTCTGTTCATGGTTTCTCACCATCTTCACTGTGTAGTCAACTTTATTTTCAAGATTATATATTTTGTCTTCATTGCCTGAGGTTCTGTCTTCCAAGTAATCTAGTCTGTTATTGATGCTTTCTATTGAATTTTTTATTTGGCTTATTGTTTCCTTCATTTCAAGGATTTCTGATTTTTGTTTTTTGTTTTCAGGGTCTCTATCTCTTTCTTGAAGTAATCTTTTGCTACCTGTATTTCCTTTCTTATCTCTTTGTTGGAGTGGTCAATTGTGGTCTGTATTTGCGCTCTTAATTCATTCTTTGTTTCACAGATCATTTTAGTTATGTACACTCTGAACTCCTTCTCTGACATTTCATCTACTGTGGTGTCAATGGAATCTACTATTGTATCAGCTTGGTTTGTTTTGGACACTTTCTTCCTTTGTTTCTAGGGTATAGCTGGAGGAGATGGGTCCCTGGGTGCATGCCTTTGGTGTATATTATTTTGTCCTTGATGAGCAGAGCACTCTGTCTCTCCCCATCCCCACCCCCTCTCTCTTTCCTGGTAATGTCCTGAGCTGCTTTCCTCTGCCATACTCTTCCATGAAGTTCGGCCTCACCGTGATCCCCAAGGAAGGAGCCAGCTGTCTATGGACTGAGAATGTCAGCCCCCAAATAAACATTTTTTTCCCTAATTGCTCTTTTCAGATCTTTTGGTTCCTTCAGTGAAAAAGCTGACTAAAATATACTCTTAGTTAAGGAGTTGCTTAGCCAATTCCCTCATTTTTCATTTTAGTTTTGATATCTCTAAAATCTCTTCTGACCTTCCAAATTAGGTTACATAATACCCTGTTGAAAGCTCCCATAATATCCTGTATTTCTTCAGAAACTCAGTGTGTTTGCAAGCACTTACATAATGTTGGTCTTCAGTGAGTTGGTGCTTTGCTTCTTCTGTTTTAGGATCTTAACATATGGCAAATGATCTATTCACTAAAAGAATGAATGAATGAGTAATAACTGAAAATGAATTTAGGATATGATAGGGGAGTATAAAGCAAAGCTCCAATTCTTAGACATCCAAAGACATTCCTTATTGGGAGGAGGATTAAAAACATGGATTAGAACACTGTATATGAAAGCACCAAAAGTCTTTCTTTCTTATTTTCTATTCCTCCTTTTGCTTGGGTTTCTGCTTGGAAGAACGAGGCTCAGGATTTTTGTATACTGTATTCAAAACATACCAGTAAAAAACAGAAGGAAGATATTCTGTGTCTCCATTTTTCAGATGAAAAAGTTGAGATTCAGAGATTAAAATTACTCTTTATGGTTTAAAGGCAATTTTGGTTACCACTGAATCATAATGATGCCATGTTTACATCATGTATGATATTGAGGTTTGGCCATTATTCCAAAACTATTTTTATAATCAGATGAGACCTACCATTAGGTAATCTGGTAAGGAAAAATGAATCATTCTAAATTCTAAAAATTTTTCCAATGGATGTTAGCATAATGTAATTTCTTCTGAAGGCAATAATGCTCTTCAAATAGAGATTTTTGGCCTCATACAAAATAGATTATAATTGATGATGAACTAAATTATGAAAACTAAACACAAAGCACTTTTATGTACCAGATATCCACGTTATCCATGCCATGAAAATGCAAGTCGTCTTTTTTTTTGTGTGTGTGTGTGGTGCTGGAATCAAACTCAGGGCCTCATACATCTTAAAAAAGCTGTACCCGGGGCTGGGGACATAGCTCAGTTGGTAGAGTGCTTACCTTTCATGCACAAGGCCCTGGGTTCAATCCCCAGCACCACAAAAAAAAAAAAAAAAAGAAAAAAAAAAGCTGTACCCGCAGCCTGACACAGCTTTTGTAACATAGCTTTTCATCAATGTCATGAATTTTCCTTTAAACATTATGTTCTAGTTGTGTGACTAACACTAACAAAATTTTATGTGACGAGAGTTCTCTCTCACTGCATGACTATCCTGTCACCATTTCCCTTAACTGCAGGGTGGTTCTAAGTGATCTTTCCAAGACATTCCCAGTGGACCTCACAATAGTCAAATAAAAGAGAGTTGAGGAAACTTTTTGGGTCTGAACTAGGCTGATTTCATTTTCTGATTCAATCACAACCATCTAGTTGTTGAGACTCATGTTTAAGCAAAAATTGATGGAATTTATCAAAATGTTTATGCAATATAGTCTATTTCTATGACAACAGAAAGTAAATAACTGAAAGGACATTTTTAAAAGTAGAAGAATCATAAATATGTGACTAAGAAAGTTTCTGTTCAAATTGAACCTCCCATCTGTATAATTACTTTAAAAATATTTAAAGTATTTTTGTTCTCTAATGCTCAAAACTTTTTGGAGGAGTGGGGGGAGTACAGGGAATTGAATTCAGAGGTACTTTACCACTAAGCTACATCCCCAGTTTTTTTTTTTTTTTTTTTTTTTTTGTTGTTGTTGTTGATGCTAGGGATTGAAACCAGGGCCTTATGCATGTGAGGCAAGCACTCTAGCAACTGAGCTATTTCCCTAGCCCATCCCCAGTTTTTTTATTTTTAATTTTGAGAAAGGGTCTCCCTAAGTTGCTGATGATCTCACTAAATTGCCGAGGCTGGCCTCAAACTTGAAATCCTCCTGCCTCAGCCTCCCAAGTCTCTGGGATTATAGGCTTGTGCCACTGCACCTGGCTTAATACTCAAAACTTTTAAATTGTTTGTGGCTATAATATTCTGTGCAGTTTATTTGGTTTTTTTCTTTTACATTCTCAACATAGCAAAATGCTGTGAAAATTATTAGGGATTATCATTATATTTAATAAAATCACTAAATTCTACTTCACAACTTACAACTTATGTAGACAATTTATTATATACCCAACCACTTTAAATGAAGTGATAGAAAAGGTAGAATAAAATAAGATTACCATAACAAAACAATTAGGCATTGAAAAACAGCAACCATTGTAGTCAGAATTAGGACATGAAGAAACAAGTTAAAACATCATTTCTGAGGAGGTAATTTGGTTAAAAAATGATTTTTTTGGGGGGGGAGAATTGAGATTATTAATTTTTTGTGATTTTTCTTTTCTAAAGTGCAGATATAAAAACTTATGAGAATTTTACTAAGGTTGCTTTTTGTTTTTAATCTTTTTCATGGAAATTTTCAGACATATGCAGAAATAATAAAATGTATCTTCACATGTGACCAAACCATCCTATAGCCTTGTCTTCTAGGATTTATAGAAAAGGGAATAAGGGCAAGGGTTTGGGGGTTTGCACCACTGGAGGCTTTTCACAGTTACCAAAGCAGGTGATCTTGATCTAGTGTGGTCTGTCCATCGTTATCTCAGGATTGGTCAGGACTTATCCCAGAAAAAATGTTGCTCCTCCTGGTGGTGATGGAGGGGTGGGTTTGACTGGACATGCGATGTTTATCAGATCAGACCTTGTTCTGGAATCCAAGGAGACTCAGAGCAAGGGAGATGAATGCAAAATGGAGGAAGAGATGACAAATATATTTTTAAAATTTGTATAATATATTCATACATTCACACAATAAAACAGTATACTTTGATGAATTTCATTCCCCAGTCTCTCCCCTTTCCCTCTCCTCCATCCCCCTGTTCCTCTCTTCTATTCTACTGGCCTCCTTTTTTTTTTTAATTTGTTCTAATTAGTTATACATGGCACTGCAATGCATTTTGACACATTGTACACGAATGGACCACAACTTCTCATTCCTCAGGCTGTAATGGTGCAGTCACACCAGTAATGTAATCATATACGTATATAGGGTAATAATGGCTGTCTCATTTTACCGTCCTTTCCATCCCCAGTGTCCCACCCTTCCCCTCACTCCCCTCTACATTATTCAAAGTTCCCTCTTTCTTCTCTACACCAGTCAACCCCGCCCCAGTATGGATCAGCATTTACTTATCATGAGAAAACATCTGGCCTTTGGTTTGGGGGAATTAGCTTATTTCACTTCGCATATTTTCTAGTTCCATCCATTTACCTGCAAATGCCGTAACTTCATTCTTCTTTAAGCCTGAGTAATATTTCACTGTGTATATGTACCACATGTTCTTTATCCATTCATCTGTTGAAAGGGCATCTAGGTTGGTTCCATAGTTTAGCTACTGTGAATTGAGCTGCTATACACACTGATGTAGCCGTTTCAGTATATTATGCTGATTTTAAGTCCTTTGGGTATAAACAGAGGAGGGGGATAGCTGGGTCAAATGGTGGTTCCATTCCAAGTTTTCTGAGGTATCTCCAAACTGCTTTCTATAGTGGTTGCATCAATTTGCAGTCCCACCAGCAATGTATGAGTGTATATTTTTCTGTACATCTTTGACAACACTTATTATTGCTTGTATTCTTAATAATTGCCATTCTGACTGGGGTAAGATGAAATCTCAGAGTAGTCTTGATTTGCATTTCTCTAATTGCTAGAGAGATAATGAACATTTTTTCATGTTTGTTGATCAATTGTATTTCTTCTTCTGTGAAGTGTCTGTTAAGTTCCTTAGCCCTTAGGACAGACCACACTTGATTTGGTTATTTGTTTTTTTGGTGTTAAGTTTTTTGAGTGCTTTATAGATCCTGGAGATTATTTTCCCATTCTGTAGGCTCTCTTACGTTACTGATTGTTGCCTTTGCTGAGAAGAAGCTTTTTAGTTGGAGTCCATCCCATTTATTGATTCTTGATTTTATTTCTTGCACTTTAGGAGTCTTTTTTAAAAAAATATATAATCTGCTCATATACAATTTATTTATTCTGAGTTTTTTAATTTAATTTTACTTTTTAATTCATTTTAATTAGTTATACATGACAGTAGAATGCATTTATATACTTTGATGTATCATACATAGATGGGATATAATTTCTCATTTTTCTGAGTACTTTAGGAGTGTAGTTCAGGAAGTCAGGTCCTAAGCTGACATGATGAAGATTTGGGCCTACTATTTTTAATACTAGGTGCAGGGTCTCTGTTCTAGTGCCTAAGTCTTTGATCCACTTTGAGTTGATTTTTGTACAGGGTGAGAGAGAGGGGTTTAATTACATTTTGCAACATATGGATTTCCAGTTTTCCTGGCACCATTTGTTGAAGAGGCTATCTTTTCTCCAATGTATGTGTCTGGTGCCTTTGTCTAGTATGAGATAACCATATGTGTATAGGTTTGTCTCTGTGTCTTCTATTTTGTAACATTGGTCTACAGGTCTATTTTGGTACCAATACCACACCCTTTTGTTACTGTTTCTCTGTAGTGTAGATTAAGGTCTGGTATTGTGATGCCTCCTGCTCCACTTTTCTTGCTAAGGATTGCTTTGGCTACTCTGGGTCTCTTGTTTTCCCAAATGAATTTCATGATTGCTTTTTCGAGTTCTATGAAGAATGTCATTGGAATTTTAATAGGAATTGTATTAAATCTGTATAACAGTTTTGGTAGAATGGATGCCACATCTTTAATCCTACTTTTATGCAGGCAAAAGTGGAGGCAAAAAACATATGCAGGCAAAAGTGGAGTCTAAGTCCTTGTTACAACACTAATAGTTTTCTTACTTATCTTTTATAATTTTTTTGGTGGTCCTAGGTGAAACAGTTTAAATTTGTGGTTTAATGTTAGGGAAAAATTAAACTACTTTATTAAGTTCTTGAGTTCAGAAGTCTACAGGACAAAATAGCCTCACCCACATGAGAAGGAAAATTAACTGTTTCATTTGCCTTATGGAAATAATAATGCTCACTCTACTTCACAATATCTACTTAAGGATCAAATGAAATAATTTATGAACATGTATAGAGAAATGTGCCATATTTCATCAAATCTTAGACATATCCATTTTATGACACACTATTAGTTTATGAACCACTAAAGAAAGAAACAATGTGGCCCATTTAAAGCTGTAATACATTTTCTTATCACAAAACTCATTTGTTTATTAATACTAGGGATTAAATCCAGGAGTGCTTTACCACTCAGTTACGTTCCCAGTCCTTTTTACTTTTAATTTTGAGACAGGGTCTCACTAAATAGCTGAGGCAGGCCTTGAACTTTTTTTAAAAAATATTTTTATATTTTTTGTAGCTGTACACAATAAATTTTTTATTTATTTTATATGGTGCTGAGGATTGAACCCAGGGCCTTGCACATGCAAAGGAAGTGCTCTACCTTTGAGCCATAACCCCAGCCCCATTGAACTTATGATCCTCTTCCCTCAGCCTCCTGAGTTGCTGGGATTACAGGCATGCTACTGCTCCTGGTATTTACAACTTTCACTAGTTACTAAAAGAGCTTTTTTATACTTAGTTAGATAGGGACTATTATGTTGAATACTTGTGCAAACAATAAGAGAAAAATATAAATGCAATCAATTGTTTAAAAGGTATTCTTAAAAAAATTGTGGCAGGGGGGTTGTTGAGGATTGAACTCATGACTGCATACATACTAACCATGTGCTCTACCACTGAGCTATGTTCCCAGTCCCTGACTAAGGTATTAACTTTTTGATAAGTCCAACATTTCTGAATTAGTCTTCAACTCAATCATTGATATCCATGTTTTCCTACATAATACCCTTATTCAAGCAGTCAAGAATACTGATGATGCAGCACTTCTTATACACATCCATAAATAAAAGTCACTAAAGGACACACCAGTGATTCCATTAAAATGGAAGTTGAGACTGTCCCATGGCTACCTTCGTCTCCTCATTGCCAAGCAGACTAACCATCAAAGAGGGAATTCCCTATAGTGTCCACAGTGACCGATCTTAACTAATCAGGAAAAACTGGGTTGCTGTGGCACAATGGAAGTCAGGTGTATGCACAAGACCTCATGGAGTATCTCTTAGAACTCCTGTGTTCTGTGATTTAATTGATTATATTTCACTTTACCTATTAAAATTCCAATGACATTCTTCAAAATGTACAGGATTATTTCAGGAGAAACTCACTGAAAACATTTACCAGAAATCTTTTTTGCGTGTGTGTATGTGTGTGTGTGTGTTACTGGACATTGAACCAGGGGTGCTCTACCACTAAGCTACATCTCCAGAGCTTTTTTACCAAAAAAAAAAAAAAAAAAATTTAAATAATTTTTTGAGACAGGGTCTTGCTAAGTTGCTGAGGCTGGCCTTGAACCTGCCATACTCCTGCCTCCATCTCCAAAGTCATGGGATTACAGGCCTACCCCACTGATAAGAAAATGGGGCTATTCAGTATGGAGATTCCTCAGAAAACTTGGCATGGAACCACCATTTGACCTATTTATCCCACTTCTCATTATATTCCCAAAGGACTTAAAATCAGCATACTTATAGTGACAAAGCCACATCAATGTCTATAGCAACTTAATTCACAATAGTTAAACTATGGAACTAACCTAGGGGTCCTTCAAAAGATGAATGGAAGAAAGAAAGAAAATGTGGTATATATACACAATGGAATATAACTCACCCATAAGGAAGAATGAAATTATGGCATTTGCTGGTAAATGGATGGAACTGGAGACTATCATGCTAAGTGGAAAAAGCCAATCCCCTAAACCAAAAGGCCAAAAATTCTCTCTGATATGCAGATGTTAATACACAATAAGGCAGGGGTGGGTGCAGAACTTCATTGGATTGGACAAAGGGGAATGAGGGAAAGGGAGGAGGGACAGAAATAGAAGACAGAATAAATCAAACTTAACTTTTCTATTTTTATATATGAATACATGACCAATGTAACTCCACATCATGTTCAACCACAAGAATGAGATCCTAATTAGAATAAGTTATACTCCATGTACATATGTATGTATGTCAAAATACATTTAAGTGTCATGTATATATAAAAAGAATAAAAAAAGAAAATGGGCTATTATATGTTTAAGATGAGTAGTGTGTACATGACTTTTTATTTCTTTATGCCTTATATATTCTTTTATATTTATGGAGGGAAAATAGGATAAATACATAAATTTGGGGGCCATCAGTCTCATTGATTTCTGAAGCTGTGAGAATTCACGAATCAATAACCTAAATTTAAATCTCACAAGTGAGCCAAAAACAATTTCTGACTGAATATCTACGGTGTTAACTCTTTGAACACTTTTCCTTAAAAGAGTACTCTGTAATTTCAATAAGTAACAGTTACTAAGCTATGTGACTTGTAAATTACTTAATGTCTCAGAACCTGTTTCCTAATCTATAAAAAGGACACTTTGGAATGGGAGCTCGGAGGAAAAAGACTTTTCTTATCCTCATCAGGGTTTCTCAACCTCAGCAGCACTGACATTTCAGGCCAGAGACTTTGTTGCAGGGTGCTGTCCTATGTATCCTAAGAAGTACAGCAGCCATCCTGGCCTCTATTCTTCTCTGCCCTCCACCATCCAGAGATGCCAGCACCAACTCTCCCCTTCCAGATAAGAGGTTGAAAACGCTCCAGGCATTGCCAATGTATCCCAGGAGGCAAATCACTGCAGTTGAAAATCACAGTGCCAACCTCGTGTTCATCCTAAAAGGTTCTGAGGGAAAAATAAAGCGACGGTTCCAATGGACTAGAACGCAGAGGCCCCAACTCATAGTTTCAAGAAGGCAGAAACCATGAGTCAAAAACCTGGGAATGAGGAGCTATGAGCTGTCCATGAGTAATCCAAGTCCTAATGGACTCATCGTGAGAAATAGGCAACAAGGGACTAACTAAAAGGACAAGAGGCCAAGCTGGTCACCACTTAACGCTGCTTAGCCAGCTCCTACGTAGACTTATTCCCGGGAAAACCGAGACAGTGACGCCGCCAATAAGGCGGCAAAGAACCAGGGGGAAGTACACTGGAAAGGAAGGCTTGGGCGTCCCGCACCGACGCCCCGCCCTGACGCGCCGCGTGCCTCGCCCAGCGCCGGCCCTCCTGGCCACGCCTCTCGGCAGGCTCCGCCCCACCCCATCCCCACGGGTGGCTCCCCGGCCTCCGCCGGCGTCCGCCTATGCGCGGCGCTGCGTGAGCTGCTGGTGAAGGAGGCGGCGTTGGCCCTGCCACGTTTGGGTTGCGGTTCCCGGCTCTGGCGCGGGCGGTGCAAGAGGAGGTGGGGCTGGCGCTGAAGCCGGATCCGGATCCGGTGCCTTGTAGCTGGGTGGAGGAGAGTCCCACGCGTGCGAGGAGGAGCACCAACGGTTGGGCCTCTGCAGGTGAGAAGGGGCCCGGTGTCCTGAGGGCGTCGGGAACTCGTCTTCAGGTTTACCGAAAGCCGAGGAGGGCTAGGCCCCGAAGGGGTTCTGTTTGGGCTGTTTATCTTCGCCAGCTGTGTGCACTTGGCGGTGTCGAGCGCGGTTCCCAGGAAGTTGAACCGACGCGCTCCGGGAGCAGAGGTTAAGGATGATGGCCAACGGTCACGCCATTCAGGGGTCCTGGCCTGGCAGAGCAGAAACTGGGACTGGGGTCGAACTAACTCCACTCTCGGGCTTTGGCGTGGGAGATGGAGACCCTCGCTCTCCGTTTCTGCAGCCAACGGACCCACTCTCCCTTCTCGCGTCCTTTCCTGGGGTATCCCATAGTGGTGGGAGCCATTGAGGACACTCTCCTGATCGCTCTGAAGATCACCGACTACATCAGGGGGCCTTCCCCGGGAAGAGAGGGGTATCCTTTGTGTCTTTTCTCAGGGCTTCTGCCCCTAGAAACAGCTAGTATTATGTGATTTCTATTGTACTAGCTGGTGTTTATGTAAGCCGAACTCTTAAAAAATTTCACATAAAATTGAAAGGGCAATTATGAGATTCATTTTGTTGGGCTAATCACTCGAAATGAATCCAGAATAGGTCTCAGGAAATCATTTACATGTTTTAGACGGGATTTGATGAATAGGGGAAATAACTACCAGTCAGTACCATTTGGTACTTACTTTATTGTAGCGCTCAACATGGGAAACAGGATTCTAGTTCCAGTTTACTTATTACAGTGAAGCAAATCTTGAAACTTCTTTGTGCTCCAGCTTCCTCATCAGTCGACTGGAAATAATGTCTAGATGTTAAGAGATTTAATGCTATCAAAAAATACTTTTGTAAATTGGTGCATTTGCGCGCTTTTATCAGCAAATGTTCTTTGTAAATCTTCATGTCCAGTGTCCATTACTTGTTGCTCTCAATTGCTTCTAGGAGCAACTCCTCCCCATTTGTATTCTAATCTGATATAGAGGCTGGGAAACCATCTTATTGAAATTGTGTCTAAAAGTACTCAAATTAATGAAAGTTTCTCAATAGTAGTAAAAATGAATTTGATGTATGATTTTTGTGATATCGCTTGTGACAGTGTAGAAATGTTTTTCCCTTGAAATATGATCTCCAGTTAAGTCTTAACGTCATTCATTATTCGTTATTCATTCATCAGATATTTACTGGGTTAGGCTAGGCAATTGTGGCCTTGTAAATGCATGCTAATTTAGCAGTTAAACAGAAAAGTTTCTTGAGGAATATTTAAGGGGGCTTAGGGTTTTTTGCTTTTTCCTTTTTTAAGGGATTTTTTTCCCACATAACCAAACTTCAAGAAGTACAGAAGTAAAGGTGGATTAAGTTACAACAGGGTGAAGAATCTTAAAACCATTATAACTTTTTCAGTCTCCACATGTCTACTATTTTCTATAGTTCTGTTTTTTGTTTGTTTTGGAAGTGGGGATGGATTGAATTTGGGCACTCAACCACCTAGCCACATCCCTAGCACTGTTTTGTATTTTATTTAGAGATAGGGTCTCACTGAGTTGCTTAGCGCCTTGCTTTTGCTGAGGCTGGCTTTGAACACGAGATCCTCCTGCCTCAGCCTCCAGAGCCGCTGGGATTACAGTCTTCTGACTATACAGTTAGGTTCTTGAGGAGGCTGAATACATAAATCTCATCTTCATAGTTTCCTGACCAGAAAGAGGGTTCTTCCTCTTTTGCTCCATGTTGTAAATCTTAATTAAATTATATAAAGACTTTTGGTTCTTATACTTTTAGCTGGATCAATCAATCACTGTATTATTTATTTAGTAGCTAGTGTTACATATGGAATTAAAATTTCTTAAGCAGGGAAGGAGGGGGAATGGGGGTAGTAAAGATGGTGGAATGAGATGGACATCATTACCCAAGTTCATGTATGATGACACAAGTGGTGTGACTTTACTTTGTGTACAAGCAGAGAAATAAAAATTTGTGCTCCATTTGTGTACTATAAATCAAAATGCATTCTGCTGACATGTCTAACTAATTAGAATGAATAAATTTAAATTGCTTAAGCAAAAAATTATTATTGGCAAATTGTGGTAGAGTCATTTGTTTACAATTCTTCCATCTCCCTTCTTCCTTAGTACAGTTTCATTGTAGAAAGAGTGACTTTCCCACTTTTTGACTTTGTTCATAGCTAGTTGTGGAGACTTTTAAGAATTGCCTTTTTTTTTTTTTTTCTCCTGCTTGCCCCTTTGAATTTCTGACCTTTGCCATGAGAATGGCCTGTCTCAGGGATACCCAGCTTCTTCAGCAGTTATTTACTGGTTTATTATAAAGGATATTACAAAGGATACAGATTTAGAGTTGTTTAGGGTGAGGTATGTGGGAAGGTGTGCAGAACTTTCATGCCCTCTCTGAACCCACCACTTTCCAGGAGCCTTCACATATTCAGCTATCTGGAAGTTCCAGGGTTTACTTTTAAAAATTAAAAATAATATAAGGCCATTAATGATGATAAGATTCAGCTTTCACCTTTAGTGAAATTTCTTAGTTTTGAGTATCTGTGGGTACCTTAAAATGCTAAAATATTTATTTTTTAAGCCAATTAAAATTACCTATTTAGTTCTTTCGGTACCAAGGATTGAACCCAAGGTGTTCTATCACTGAGCTACATTGCCAGTCCTTTTTATTTTGAAACAGATTGGTCTGAAATTCTCATTTTCCAAAGTAAAGGTAACCAAGTACTGATTGACCATGCACAATAAAGAAGGAAATTCCTCTACTTCATCTACTTTTAGTTTATCTTCAGTGGAATAGTTAAGAGTATGAAGTCATTCTGCCTAGCAGGACTTGCCATATAATTTGTAGGGACCTGTGCAAAATTAAAATGCAGGGCACTTGTTAAAAAAAAAATTCTTAAAAATTTCAAAGTAGTAGCAGCAGAGTATTAAACCAAGTGCTGGGCCCCTGTGCACCATATAGATCCAGGGCCTGTGAAGCTGCCCTGTTGCTTTGTTTTGAATTCTAAATTGTGTTGCTTATTGGCACTGGTATCTTGAGCAAATTACTGTGCCTGCTTCCCAAAAGAGGGATAAAATCATTATGTATCATTGATTGTGTTTTAAAGAGTTAACAAGGGCTGGGGATGTGGCTCAAGCAGTTAGCACGCTTGCCTGGCATGCGCAGGGCGCTGGGTTCGATCCTCAGCACCACATAAAAATAAAGATGTTGTGTCCATCGAAAACTAAAAAAAAATATTAAAAAGTTCTCTCTCTCTCTTATTTATCTTTTTTAAATAAATAAAGAGTTAACAAATACCAAGTATGCAAGGGTCAGCTAATAGTGCTTTATCACTCATAGAACAGGACCATGTGGTTAGAGAAAAATCACAGAACTATAAATATTTACTGATTAAATTCATTAAAGGCTTCACAGACTAATTCTTCTGTGTAATTTCCTCATGAAATTAGTAACCCTTTTTGTGTAGCTTCCAGTCAACATTTTATTATAAATTCTGGCAACTTTAAGGGAAAAGGGAATCTAGTAAATCCCTTGGAGTTTTGTTAATATTTATCTAAATTCCCTTTTGAGGTTTCTTTAAATGTCATGCTTTTATATGTGAAATAACACGATCAAATGTTTTAATAGGGTATTACCTTGAGGAACTAAAAAAAATTTACTTTTCCCAGCATATTAGTTGGACACCAGCAGATCTGCATACCTGAAAAAAACAATATTTTTTGCCCATCTTTCACATGAGATTTTATACAGCAGCTTCAATGGTCCAACTACCAGGGACAAATACTAAAATGCATGCCTATGAAAAACCTGTTTAGGATGGATGGTAAGCTTATTAATTTGATATGAGAGTTTTAATCATCACAGTTTACATTCTTTCTTCAATATTGTTCAACTTAGGTATAGTGTTACAGCACAACTTGATCTGAATTGTGAGGGGGAAAAATGCTTAGTATTCTATGTAATAAACTACATTTTAATTTTTTCCTATCCAAGAAGAGTAACTTTTGGCTTAATATAAACACAACAACTTGTCATTCTTTTTATAGTCCCTGTATCCAGCAGTGCCTAAATCATGAATTAAAGGCAAAAAGAACTTGTAAAATGAATTTTAAATTTATTACTAATTAGAATGTATCTTGCTTTTTTGTGGTATGCCACATATTTTAAGTGCTTGCTTGCATATAATAATTCTTTTCAAATTTGTGTAATTTCATCTGTATTTTACAAATGAGGAAACACGATTCTAAGAGCTTAATTACCTTAACCAAGATCACAGTTGACATTTGAATTAACAAGTCCACTTGTTTCCATGTCCAGGTTTAAGCCCTGTCTTCCTAAATTTTGTGACCTCAGGCAAGATATTTAATATCACTGTACCTTTATTTCTTCATCTGTTGAAATGGAGATAACAACATCTAGTCTGTAGGATTTTTGAAGCAAATGACTTAGTAATACGTCAAGTCCCTTGAAGAGTGCCTGGCATGAAGTAGGTGCTGAGGAAGTATTGAATTCTGTTATTACACAACACTAACTTCCCAAAGCCTATACTAACCTGCAGCATTACCTGTATAGTTACATAGAGTGGTCACACAGGCAGAAATTTAATAAGAAAAGTTAAGTCTATTTGCCATAAAGCATGTTGTGACTTATAAAATAGGTATTTAATTTATGAGAAAATTGCTCTTTCAATAAATGTTTCTTTATAGGAATAGAATTGAAAGGGTATAGTTCTAGAAATGAAAGTTGGAGGATTTTACTTAGTCCCTGGATGAGCAGGAAGATCCTATTTCTTTGAGTAGCTCTGTACTCTATTGAAGTGCTCCTCCCACCCCATTTTATACTTCATAAAAATTTTCATCTTTCCCTACTGTTTTATCTATTATTTAGTCTTAGTTTTATTAGATCACTAGTGAGAATCTGCCCATTTCTGAATGTTAAAAAAAGCAAGGGAAATACCATAATTGGTCATTTTTCAATAGCATGAAAACACTGGCTATTCTTAAACTGCATAGATGCAGCTGAGTAACTTATGTTACAGATTTTTAGAAAATCTGTTATGAAAACAAAATTTATCTTTAGTGTCTTATCTGTCATAGCTAAGACCAGTATTGCTAATGAACACAAAATAATTCAGTAATTAACGTTCATCATGATTAATATAAAAAAGTGATATGCTCAATAAGTCTTTACACTTAACAATCCCACTTTCTGATAGTAAGCATGACATGTGTGTGTGTGTGTGTGTGTGTGTTTTACTGGGGATTTAACGCAGGGGCACTATACCATTGAGCTCTATCCCAGTCTTTTTTTTTTAAATAGGGTCTTGCTAAGTTGCCAGGCTGACTTTGAACTTTTGATCATTCTGTCTCAGCCACCAGAGTTCCTAGGAATACAGACACGCATCAACAAACCCAACAAAGCGTGATGTAAAAATACACCCCCCCCCCCCCACACACACACACACACATCGAGAGACCAAGAGATCGATCTGTAGTTGGGGCATTTGAAATTAGATTCTTGGTAGGCTAAAGCAAAATAGCTTGTATAACTGTTATAGAATGCTTCATTAATTTTATCATCAACCATAATAATTTTCTTTTAGTAATCAAAATGCCTTAATATTTAAATTTTTATATTAGACCTTACTGGAAAGATGAAACCTGATGAAACGCCAATGTTTGACCCAAGTCTACTCAAAGAAGTGGACTGGAGTCAGAATACAGCAACATTTTCTCCAGCCATTTCTCCAACACATCCCGGAGAAGGTTTGGTTCTGAGGCCTCTTTGCACTGCTGACTTAAATAGAGGTATGGAATCACTCCGTGAGGAAACCCTGGTTAGAATTATAGTTGGCCTTCTGTTTTCTTTATAAACATGACACTGATAAATTTTAAAAATATTTGTCTTTAGGATTATTTTTAGACTTCATTTTTTAGTGACTGGAAAATTCAATTTTGACTAATATATGTTTATGATAAATATATTTTCACTCTATAATGAAATATACATGTCTATCATGGCTAAGACTAAATAGTTCTGTGAAATAGTTCAAATGACTTTAACATAACAGTGCTCCTTCCAATTATTGATAATTGCATATTTGTTTGAAAAGTCTTTTTGGAAGGAGCACTATTATATTAAAGTCATTTGAACTATTTCACAATACTATTATAACAACATTAGGTCTTTTTTAAGAAGCCAGATGGGAAATGAAAGTACAGATAATTTTCCTTGGTTAAGTTGAAAAGGTTGTCTGTTTCTATGTACTTATTTTTTTGGGTGTGGCGGGGATACTAGGGATTGAACCCAGGGACACTTAGCCACTGAGTTACATCCCTGGCCCTTTTTTTATATTTTTTATTTTGAGACAATCTCTCTTTAAGTTTCTTAGGGCCTCACTAAGTTGCTGATGCTGGTTTTGAACTCATGACCCTCCTGCTTTGGCCTCCCGAGCCGAGCTGCTGGGATGCACCACTCTTCCTGGCTCTATATACTTCTTTTTTTTTTAAAGAGAGAGAGAATTTTTTAAATATTTTCTTTATTTTTTTAGTTTTCAGTGGACACAACATCTTTGTTTGTATGTGGTGCTGAGGATTGAACCCGGGACGCACGCATGCCAGGCGAGCGTGCTACAGCTTGAGCTACATCCCCAGCCCCTCTATATACTTCTTTTATTAACATCTAAATTCTTCAAACTAACTTAAACCTTGTTAATCAAAAGTCAGCATTTTACTTCTCAGTTTACTTCTGGGTAAGAAACCTGAAGAAACATAATTTTGGTCAAAGTAATTATTGAGTCTAGAAAAGACTCTCAAAGTTCTAAGTGTACTTTTAATATTAGATATAATAAAATTACGAATCTTTAAAATTGTAGTCAACGTTATATTATTTATATTTTGATAAATGTTTTATATCTGTTCATAGTAAGAAACTTGGGAAAAGTTGGCATTCCTTGTGCTGAATTTAACAAAGATTATGTCGAAAAAATATACGTAGTTTGTACTATTCCAAAAATTTTGCGCAGGCAAAAATGTTCAAATATTTTATTACCTTTATTGTATGATTCAAGAAATAATAGTTAAGTGATGATTATGGAAAATTTGAAAAAATGATTGCCCATATTCACAACAACTTAACATATTACTTCTTTTCATATTTTGCCTTTCCTCATGATTTGAAATCTGGTCTTCAAACAAGGGTTTTTTAAGGTACTGGGTCAGCTAACAGAGACTGGAGTTGTCAACCCTGAACAGTTTATGAGTAAGTACTATAGCCTCTGTTTCCTGAATAAAATTAAAGGGAAGTAAGATTTTATTTTTGTTTAGAGCACTGTTCAGTGCCTGCTTGTTTTTGTTCAAACAGCTGGAAGTAATAGATTAGCTATTTTTATTTTAATGTTTAACTTGTTGTAGAATCCAAATATAGTAACTACCTTGTTTTGCTAAATACCTACATTTACAAAAGTGCAGGGTGCAGATCAAAAGACTTTTAATTTATTGTAGTATTTCCTTCCATATGATTAGATTATTCACAGAAATTTCATTACCAACCTTCCCCCACCCTCAAAACTCAAGAGCATATGTACTTTTGTTCTTATATTGAATTTCAAGGTTGGCAGGTATCCGTTAGTCTAGCCCACTACCCCAACCCCAGCTTTTTTTTTTTTTTTTGGTGCTGGGGATTGAGCCTAGGATCTTGTACATGCATCCCCATCCCAGCTTTTTAGAAAATGGATATCCAGAGAGATCCAGTGTCTTACTCAAGACCACAGATAGTTATTAGTAAGGAAAGGACCAGAACTTCAACTTCATCCAGTACTCCCAACACTGCCCTTCCTGTTTCCTACAATTCTTTATTCCTTTTAGTAGGTAAGTTTGTTTTGTATTCTGACTCTGGTAAAAATGAAGGTCAACATTTTCCAATTCTCATTTATGTATTTCTTCTTCCCACTACCTCTCTGTACAAATAAACAGTACAAGACCTATTAGGTTTGGTTTTTAACTTCTGAATTTCTCTTTGCATGCATATCAGATTCATTGAGAAATTCTTTTTTCAGCAATATAAGCATTAATAATCACTTAAGGGGAGTGAAGCTATGCTCCTCTTATGTGACTTTGGAAAAACTACTTGGAAACGGAGACATTTTTCACTTACTTTTAAGATGGTTTCAAAACATCTAAAAGAGCAAGTATGTAATTATGAAATAGTTGAAATCACAAAAGGAAAATAAAAAATTTGTTAAATTTTGAAATTACAGAATACACATTCTTCTTAAAATCTGCAAAGTTTGAATAATCTGTTGAGTACATATTGAATAAAGTATTGAAGTTTTAATTAGTCATAAAAATAGCAACATATACAATTTGTATGTATTTTAAGTACTATTAATCTAAAATAACTGTCAATCTTACTATATTTTGCTAGCAGATTATTTTAAATGTATGCACCATAGTCCAATTAATATTGACTGTTGATATTTCAACTCTTTGATTGTTTGGATAATATGCTTTTAGATATGGAATATAAATTACTATGGTAAAATAGCTTTAAGTATTTAATAATAAATCATCCAATCTTAGTATTTTTATGGCACCTAATAAAATAAGTCTACCATGTAACACTCTTTGTTTTCCAATTTCTACAGAATCTTTTGAGCATATGAAGAAATCTGGGGATTATTATGTTACAGTTGTGGAAGATGTGACTGTAGGACAGATTGTTGCTACAGCAACTCTGATAATAGAACATAAATTCATCCATTCCTGTGCTAAGGTATGTGCTCACATTAATGCTTGTGAGTAAAATGGGTGTTTTCTAGCAAAAATGACTTTGAATTTCTGCTAGACAAATGTTTTCTTACTGCTTTTCATTGTTTTCTTAGAAATCGTTTAGCAATAAGCAATTTCCTGGTGTGTTTCTGAGAATTATAAAAGAAAACATTAAGTGTATTAACTGCTTACTAAACTTGTTATATAAAGGTTTTAGATTTGACATAGTCATAGAAAAACTGGGTTTCATTAAATTCAGGAGTAATGTTTAAAATCCCTAATGTTTTTTTCCAGAAATAATACTTTGTACTGCATTAGCAGAAATTTCTTATTGTTTTCTTGTTAGTAAAGATTGCAGAATACTATGTTTGTCTTCCAATTCTCATAAAATTCACATGATATAATAAATATATAAGAAACCCAATGAAAATGAAAATAAGAACACATGGGATGTATCACGTGCTTTATGAATTTGGGGGTGGGGGTTAAGCCACTAGAAATTGATAAAATTTTACTTGTCTATCTGAAACAAATTTTTATTGAGCAGAGTAGAATGATGGATGTACTGTGTTTATGGAAAGATTTTGTTTTTGGTGATACAGATTCTGAGATTTGCTTTAATACATGGAGTGGGGGAGATTGGGGATATAACCAGAAAATGATTAAACTAAAAGTTGATTCTTTTTATTTCCTCTATGGTAATAAGTTAAAAAAATGCATTTTGGTTCTTATGAAGTTCAAGTTTACAAAATATTATCAATAAATTCTTACCAGCTATCACTTGGTTTATCTGAAAACAAAACTGGATGAGTAGTCCTAAACACTGTAAACTACTTTTCAGAGAGGAAGAGTAGAAGATGTTGTTGTTAGTGATGAATGCAGAGGAAAGCAGCTTGGCAAATTGTAAGTAAACGAAGAAGGTAACTCTGGGTAAACTGGATACTCGTTTCATTTCATTTCTTGCTAAAATGCCTGTTAATTTTTTTTTTTCCTTTTTGAAGTTCTTTTTGGGCTACATTAATTCTGAATTAATTTTTATTCTATAGCTTGGAATTGAATTTAATGACAAAAATATTAAATAGTTTCAGAGTTTGAAAACTGAAAGCATACTGTTACCAATAGTCACTTTTTTTATTTGGTATTAGGGATTGAATCCAGGGTCACATGCACTGAACTATACACCAGACCTTCTCAAATTTTCTGTTGAGCCAGAATCTAAGATGAGGTTAGCCTCAAACTTGAGATCTTCCTGTGTCAGCCTCTCCACTAGCTGGGATTACAGGTGTACACCATTACACCTGGCTAGATCACATTACATTTTAAAAGAATGTCTCTTTTAAGGATTTGTAAAGATGTATACTCTTTTGCTTTGTGTACATCTGTTATTAAACCTATGTTGATTTAAAAATTATTAATGGGGCTAGGGATGAAGGTTAGTGTTAAGAGTACATTCATGTGGGCAACCCTTGGGTTCCATCTCCAGTACCACAAACAAACAAAATTAAAGAACGAAACTATTAAAGTACCGATTTTATGTTAGAAGGCTGTATACTACCAATTACTTTGAATAGATTTATAACAAAGACCTTTTATTAAATAATTTTGGCCATATTTTTACACAAGTTGATAGTTGATAGTCTTCAGTGTTAACATGACTAAGTCCCTTTAAAGAGTTTAGGGTAATTTATCTTGTTTACTAATGAGCTGGAGGTTACTAGATAAAGTTTTTGAAACTAAGTAAAAATGCTTTGGTGATTTAAATGCTTATTGACTTATAATTTGCCTATCATAGCATATTTATACCTATTTCTAATAAAGACCGAAGTTTTCTTTTTCTGTAACATCAATTCACATTGTTATTGAAATTCATTTTAATAAATGCTGTCTCCTCACTTTCCTTTTTTAAAATTTTAGGTTATTATCAACTCTTACTTTGCTAAGCAAGAAACTGAACTGTTATAAGATCACTCTTGAATGTCTACCAGAAAATGTTGGTTTCTACAAGAAGTTTGGATATACAGTATCTGAAGAAAACTACATGTGTCGGAGGTTTCTACAGTAAAAATCTTGAGGATCTAATGCTACAGCACTTCATTCTTCCTAGAATAAAAAAACATTTTTGTTACTGCAACCCAGTGACCTCCATGATGCTGGACTGAAAAAACATTGGACTACTACAAGTTTAATGACATTTAGAAGATTACTTTAAGATGGTGGGACAGTCTGTGAGTTTAGATTACAAATGAATATTATCAAAGGGGATGATTTTTAACCAAAGGAATATATTTTTAACTTGAATCTTTTCTTGCATTGTATTTTTCTAAAGTTTGGCTTCATTTCTTGATAGTCAAGAGTATGGGTAGTAAGGAGTTATAGGTCTGCTGTCTTTGCTGCTCATTTTTAAAAAGTATACATTCACAAAATTAAATATTTTGTTTCAAAGAAACATCTAAATAAACCTAGAGGTGTATCATTTCTCACATATTATAGGAAGTTGGATAAATTACTTAGAACTAAGTTTGTCCATCTTAATGTTGGCAAACAACTTTGTCAACATTGTAAAGAAAGAAAAATTAGCTTATAAAATGTGACAAGACTTTAAGTACAGTAGTTTAAATGTTTCAGTAAAAGTTCATACTGTTCCTATGGAGGTCAAGTACCACCTGTCTTACTGTAAAACAATAAATTTGCCCAAGGGCAAATAAAACAGGCCATCCAAGGTACGCTTTTGTGGAATTGTGTGTGGTACTAGTGATTGAACCCAAGGTAAAGTACCTTTTTAATAGTGAACTAGCAACTCTAGGCATATCCCAGTTTCTCTTTTCATGGGTATCTGAAACCTTTCTTTTGTCAAACATTTTTATGAAACATGGACAGATTATAAAATTTGAGTGATATTTAAAAATGTATGGTACTATAATTGCCACATTGTTAAAATACTGATGGAAGCTTTTATATTTAATGTGATTATAATGGTACTATTATTCTGATCACTATCTTGTTTTGATTTTATTTATTTCAATTATTTTTTAAAGTTGAAGAATTAGATAATTAATGGTTCTAATCTTTTGCATTCCATATTACATTAAACCTGTTCATATAAATTATTAAAATCCTGCCTGTCGCTTTTCTTGAATGTATTATTGAACTATTAGATTCATTCTTCGTTCATGACATCCTAGTTTTGTGTATTCTTTGTAAGGACCACCTGTTTCTCACCTCCGATTCATACCACATCAGTTGGGTTTCCCTCCAAACAGTCAGCTAAAATTGGCTTTCCAAGACAACAGAAATCCTTCACCAATAAGGTATACTACTCATATGCTGACCCATTTATCCAGATGAACCCATCTGCCTATAGTGAAAGCAATAAAATTTGTTCTTTTTTTTTCAGGAGTTTTAAAACCTTAGTTGTAGCTTCATTAGGTAAATTCAGGTAATTAAAAACCCATATTAAGTAAGCCTAGTAAAAAGTTGAAATTTAATTCTTTATTAAACTTGAAATTTAATTCTTTATTAAACTTCTTACCACTGAACTATTTGAAGTAAAATTATCTATTAGGCTGGTATTTCAATAAATCCCATTAAATTGTGTTCTTCAGGTCTTCTCTTAAATCCCCCCTATAGGAAATAGAGTTATAGATAAGGCTTAGTATGTAAAAATTGTGTTACTCTAGTTTTAGTTATCAAAATGTTTATTTCTAATTCGTATTGTGAGTAAACAAGTATGAAAAAAATCTGCATTTAATATATAAACTATATTAACTTTTTTGTTAGCACTTTTGTTTTTGAAAAGGTATAATGAATGGTAACTCTGATTTTTAGGTGACCCATATTTTTTGTTTATGTTTCATTAATCTGAAAATGTAGTGGGCTATCCCTAAAATCTGGATGCATTTAAGGATCACCGACCTGCTATAGTTTAGTCAGCAATATTTTGCTCTCAGTGTTATAGTTTAGGTGGGACCTTAGATTTGATTAAGCAAAGTGGATGAGGGAGAGAGACAGTACTATAAAATCAAGTATTATTTTTTTTTAATGGAGTAAAAGTGGTGCTATAAATGATGTACCTATCCTTCCTTCAGACATGAATTCCCAACTTGCTCAACTAACTGGAATTTGGGGCTTGCAGACATTTTTGAGTGTGTGTTGACCACAAGGTTTTGAAAGATATTCTTGTTTCAACGTTCATTCACCTTTTTTAATCTGTAGGAGTAAAACTGGGTTATTTTTACCCAGAGAATAAGTAAAGAAGTTCTCAGGCATCAGCAGTACGAACGAACTTTTCAATATTTTTGAGGTATAATGGCACAACAGTTTTAATACAACCACCAATCTTCACAAAATAATTTTAATACTTTGTGCCTCGGGTAGCAGCATTTTGCACTATGACATTCCTATACATACATAAGCATTTTATCCAAGTACAAATGTTAAAAGCAGAGTAATGTAAGCAATTGCTTATACAAAGGTAAATAGACACTGTAATGTTTTCTTCTTGAATCATTTTTGCTGCATAGTAAATTGCAATTACATGTCAGTATGTTACTGATCTATAGAATACACTTTGAATTGTGAGGTATGGCAACTCCCTCTGAGAGGGAGCTAACATGTAAACCTGAATATTTTGAGCGAGTTTTTTTTTTTTTTTTTTTAAATAGCTGCCATGAATGGGAAAGAAAAAGAAAAATCCAGCACTCAAATACCCTAGAAACTTATTTTCCTAATAAATAAATTAAAATATTTTAGTAATTCTTAGCTACTTCCTGTTATTATCAATGAATGGACAAAGGTAAATACTGAAGTGAAGCTATGTAATGGAATTATGGATTAAACCAATTATTTAAAAAAGAAATCCGCCAGGTAACTGCTCATTTACTTTACATCAAGCTGAGATCCTGATAGATACATCTCAACTTTATAATTCAAGACTGCAGTTAAATACTTCTAATTCACTTGAATTACCAGGGTAATAAGACAATTAGGAACCTTATATTTTCTTGAAAAAGACATGCTTAACGTTTTCTGACATTACTTCTAAACTTAAGATTCCTAAGCACACAATCCCCCCGCAAAATGAGTATTCTGCTCTAAAAGTTAATTGGTTGAGAATTGGTAGCAAAAGCTATCACAGTTTAACATTTCCACCAGAGTAGATACAAATAAAAATAACTATTGTTTAAATACCTAATGGATAACAAATTAACATGAACCAAATAACTGAAATAACAAGAATACTGTCATTCCAGTTTGACTATTTTCAGTATTCAAAATGCATAGTAATGTAGTTTGCCTACATTTTGATTCAATTTCATTTTAAATGTTGTGCCTGGATTATATATTTAAGGTTAAAATTGGGTGATATCTCATACATTATTCAAATACTCTAAAATAAATCATGATTAGTTAAGTTAATCATAATTATCTATCATAAAACATCACTGGAAATAAAAGCACAGAAATGAGACCAAATAGAATAAAGAACAAGTAGAGTTACAAAAAAGCTAGTTGAACACTAAGTAGATAAAGAGATCTAAGGGGTCAGGGGATTTGAAACGTTCTTATACGAAAGGGTAAACCTCATGTTTTGTCCCATTAACACTGTATGCAAGATGATAGTCCTGTTTTCTAGATTGAGACTGTCTTTAGTATATAGTGCTGGGCAGGCACTTTAGTGACAACATAGAAATGATAGTGGTTAGAAAAAGAAAAATTACCCAGCTACAAATTGGTATCACTAGCCAAATTTGTATTTCTTTGCCAGACTGCTATAGAGGATATGTATTTTTATAAAATGAATTAAATAAAAACTTCAACTGCCTAATTTTTAAATATAAATTTGCTTTTATGAAGATTATAGCAGTTTCTGTTAGAGATTGCAAGAGATGTTTGCTGACCTGTTCAATAATGATCTACATACAGGAAAGCTGTGGTACCTGATTTTTTACCAGCTAGAACTTTTGAACATCCAATGCAATCTTGACTTCACTAGATCACTACACAAAATGTTGTAATCACACAATAGAATACTGGACCACAATGGGGTTAATAATATGCTATTTTCAAAGTGGTAAGAGGAGAGAAGATGGCCAATCAGAAGAATACCACATGTCAACAGGACTTAACAGTAATTTCAATAAATTTTCACTGTCCACTATGGGGGGTAAAAGTTTGTTTTTTTTTCTTCTTCTTCTGTATTATTACATCATAGGGAGGAAAGTAAGTAAGTAACCTGGTGTAATAAGTTACCTTGAAAAGTACACCTCCTTGGTACTATGGGAATGCAGAGATTTCATTCCCATCAGTAAAGCACCTCAAGAGAGGACTGAGAAAAGTGAGATACAAAGTTTTGTTTGTGCTACACCTAAAGTCATCAACTATAAAAAGTTAAAAACTTCCCTCACATCACACTTAAGATAGCAAAAATGTTTTTCTTAGAACAACTATTGTACATATAAATAAAAGTATGAAGAACTAAAGATTCATAAAGTGACTGCTAATGCAAATTAAGGGGGGAAATTTGGATCAACTCAAAGAACTGATTAATTCACTAATTTAAGAACCACTAAAACTACCCACAAATCATTTCCCCCAATAAATTCATCTTCAAGAAGACCTTTTGTCTGAGCTAGAATAATCTCACAGAATCATTAATACAACATAAAACAGTGAATGTTCCATATTTCAAAAAATTTAGTAACATTTTCTTTAAGCCTCACCCGTTCAGTTTAAGCTAATTTTTAAACATTTAAAAAAAAATTACAGAATAATGTTAAGAACTCTTCAGTGTTCTACATACTAACTTAGAGGTCATGAGAATTTAATTTTCTTCAAAAATAATTCAAGGCACTTTCTTTTGGGGGGCTTCATTTAGAAAAAAAATAGTGCTACATCGGTTTATCACATTCTATTTAGAACCATTTTGGACAAAGGTCAAAACAGCTAGACAATTCTGAAAAGAACAAATACAACATTTGGCTTAAAAGAAAAAAGCAAAATAGAAAGTCACTTGAAAATTGAACACTCTCCTTGTTTTTGAGCATCTGGTAATATGAAGCAAAACATCTTTCTTTGATCATTAAAAACCTTTTTTTCCTATAGAATATACAAATTATGAAAGGAAGCATTTACTTAATTTAAATTACAGTTAAGATAGTTGGTTAATGTCATGATTGAAAGAATACTAATAAAGAATCAAGAAATTTAAAAAAATAAAATGGTAAGTAACTGAATTATAATAAAAAATGTGGCAGATTCCTGTATTTTGTTAATGTTTCTGTAAGAGGCTCCATCATAAAATTGAACTGTAAAATTATTTTAAAAATGTAATACATAGAACACAAAATGAATTTTTAGCAAACCTTAGGAAATTCTTGTTATAAATTACCCAAAATTTATAAACAAATCCCCCCTAACTTGCATTTTGTTTAAAGTAATAACTTTATATCATACAAATAAATTTCAAGTATGAAAAGTGCATTATTGCAATAATACCTCTTTGCAAGTCCAAAGTTCTTGGTTTATAATAAACTGTAAAGTGTTTAAAAAAAAAAGTAAAACCATCAGTGCCATCTATTGCAGAAGTCCAACATCTTCTTAAAATGTTGCTCAACAAGTTGCAGAGAAACATGTCTGGAAGCAACATATAATTGCAAAGAAACTACTTGTGTCCTTACCATTTAACATTACTGTTATTATTTTTAGAATTGTCTCCTTTCCCAATAGAAATTCACACCCTTTGTGTTTGTCTTCAGTCAGCCATTCTGTGCAGTTGCTACTTGCATGTTTCCAAAATCATCTTCTTCCTCATGTGTTCTTTTCAAACTGCCTAAAGTTATTGAGTGAATGTAACATGAGAAAGTAAATAAATTCATGTTAGAATGTTACAGCCAGTAAAAATCAGTTTTTCATCAAGTGATACCTTGTACACACTATGATAATTTCACAACTGAATTTATAGCGAACTTTAGTGATTATTATTTTGTAAATTACCCAAATAACTTTTTAACTTCATGACTGGGTATATTTTTCCCGCTGAAACTTTTAAGTATGTCTTAGGTATAGCATATAATAAGCTTTAATTTTTTTAACCTATTCAGAGGACAAACTCTAA